GGGAACGTCTCAGGTTACGTATGCAACCATGGTTCCCTGAGTAGGGAACGAGACACTGCGTCCTCTAGCTTCCTGCCATGCTTCAAACCCAAGCTTCAGACGAAGAAGCGGATGACGTGTTCTCCCGGCGCCTATTTATACTATAGTCGCACCGGTAGTGACGTCATAGGCTGTCGCCTGCCAACATGTTGTTGGTGTTTTTTGAATGTATGCTTCAGACACGGGTCACGTCGAGGCGTTCCCCATAGCGACCCCCTAGAGGACGCAGTGTCTCGTTCCCTACTCAGGGGACCATGATTACATAACCTGAGACGTTCTCCCTCTTGTTCGCCGTCGTCGTTAACAGTTCTGTCTAATACGGATAGAAGTCTGTCTAATAATCCGATAGAACTGTTAAACAAAGGAAGTGCTCTGTTGGTTACAGTTTACTTCCTTTTTAATTATATTTTTATTCAATATTTATTTATTTGTGAAAAATACTTTGTCATCTAAAGTATAAGTATGTTTATTTTACAAATTTATTTTTAATGCATTTTCAAATGATTTCAAATTTCTTAAATATTAATTAAAATAAATAAAATTATATCGGCCATCGGCCACCCTGCTTTCCAAGATATCGGCATCGGCTGTCAAAAAAACAATATCGGTCGACCACTAGTAACAGACATGGATTGATCCAGACCCCCACTTCTCTTCCCAGGAGGTTCTTATTCTTCAGAAATGGTTTTGGGTGTGGTCCTGGCTTTTATCATAGGTGTTTTCAATAACCTTTTAAAGGGTAAGCATTGCTTGAGGGATGGGTTTTGGTCAAGTCTTGGCCACGTGTAGCAATAGACATTAAATAAAAGCTGTGTTTGTGAAGTATTTGAAATTAATAAATATCAGCTGTCATTCCCAGTGACTGCATGTGACAGAGTGAACATTTTAACCTGTATTTTGGCCTCTGAAGTTGGATCCTAAAGAGAACCTGCGAACGCAAAGTTGAGAAGTTCAGCAGAACATATATAGAATACTTGTAGAACATGTTAAACCAAGAGGATACTTTGTAAAGCACCTATAGTGTTTGCTTAACCACTTTTTTTTTTATTTTTTACTATTAACCACAATAGTAAAAAAAATATAATAAATAAACAAATACCCTATAACATATTTACACAAAACTATGGAAGCCGTTAGTTTTCATAGTTGCAACTATGAAAAAATTGCACACAAAAAAAGTCAGAATGACAAGATATAAACACAATTTTGAGAGAATAAAAGACAACATTTCAAGATATAAACTCAGAATTCTGACTTTTTTCTTGCAATTCCAAGTTTACATCTTTTTTTTGATGCAGTTTTGTTTTTGTATCTCACAGTTTAGCAATTGCCAGTTAATATCTCACAATTCTGACTTTTTTTCTCAAAATATAAATAGTATAAATTCACGTTTGTGAGTTAATATCTCAAGTTTATATCTCACAATTCAGAATTTTTTTCAGCAAGAAAGTCTGAATTGTGAGATAAAAAAAATCGCAATTACACACATCCTGTGGCAGAAACAAGCTTCTATATAAAACAGCACTTGTCACACCCAACCAGACTCAATTCCCTTACTCTGACCTGAATACCTCTAAATCAACTGAGGACAATTGAAAGCATTTTGTATCTAATTCCATTTTTATGACACATATTGTTATTGATTCCCATAAATTCCACACCTGATAAACTAATAGAGGTCTGAAAATGCAGAGGTGAGATGAAGTTACTTGGCAGGCTTTATAAACAAACTCTAGACAATGTCGTTCACTCCTGAGGGGATCACTTTGCCACCCAACTCAATTCATCATTTTAATAAACCATGTGTTGCGGTGGAACAACTATCAAGTCACTGTAGATGGGTGGATGCCTTCTACAAAAGACATTCCTTGAAGTAAAAAAACACAAAAACAATAAAGTACAGACCACCAAATTAGAAGTGCTATCTATCTATCTCTTTCTGTCCATCCGTCCGTTTATCTGTGTGATTCATATTCTATTTAATGTTTCATTCATGAATGATATTCATAAGATATCATTTTTCAAACTTTCTCGCTCTGTGAAAGTAAGTGATAGTATTTGCCGCCACAATTGTAGAATGTGTAGAATACAACACGTCATGTTAAGCATAAAGTTAAATCTTGCAGTGTCTCACTAATATTGTCCAAATCAGCTAGAATTAAATGTAACTTTAGGGGACTTGGTTTTAAATTGTGTTCAAAATCACTTTGATCCGATGATGAAAACATTTTCCTCATTGTTCTGTAATATAGAACTAGTCTTTGTTTGTGATTAATCTTTTATATATGCTCAAAATTACTTGTGGTCTTCATAAATTACATAAGAATCCATGAACTCATTCATTGGCTGTGCATTATGAACTTTACATTATTGATATATATTGATTGTTAGTGTGTTGTTTGAAATCTGTTAATTGTATTATGAACAATTCATCCATGTCTATTTCATTAAAAATAATAATACAATTTAAAAACCTTGTAATATTTAATCAAAATGTAAAGCTCTTTGAAACAATGTGTGTAATGTAAATTTAGTAAATATCAATATAGTAGGTTTAAGTAAATATTGTGCTGTTAATCTTTTTTTTCCCCGCCATTCTCATTTTCATTCCATCTCTTCTTTTCATTTTTTCCAACCTCATCTCTACCTTGGGGGGATTTCAGTAGAACATTCCACTGTGTGCATGTTTAACAGTAGAAATAAAGTAGGTGTTTGGTTTCATGTGTGTGCTACACATGCTTGTGGATACACGTGTGTGTGTGTGTGTGTGTGTGTGTTTAGGAATTGGTCCAAATTGTACAAAAAATACACACATTTATAAATGCTTTCTGTTTGTAATCTGAACTTCCTTAAAAAAAAATCTACATGTTAAGTGACACTACAAATGGTTGAAAAATTACTTTTAAAGAAATAGCGATTATTTAATATTTTTGAATTCTTTCTAAGTATGTGTTGGAGACAATTCTGTTGTATTGTTATTGGTTCTTAACACACTGTTTTATTGTTTGCAAAGCCTCCCTGAATGAATGAGATAAGATAAGTGCATATGTTCCACCCTCCATGACATCATGAGATAATTCTCATTGGCTGGGGGAATGAGTCTATGATGACATCATGGCTTTCATGAGATCATGCTTTAACTAACATTCTAAAAATATTTTTGCATTCTATTTTGGGCTCATAGAAGGTGTAAAGTTTGCTAACTCATTTCAAGAGCATTTAGTTTTTATTTGACAGCGTAAACCAAATGAAAGCAGAACCTTTCCGGATATTTGGCATCTTTTTCATTACTCATTTTTGCCCAACTTGACTTACCTGAAAATGTTTTGGCAAAGGTGTTTTCTATTGTGCATTTACAAGCAAAGTGACACCATCTGCTATTGTTTCACTAATTAATCACTGAAAAACAGGTTGTCTGAAATTCCTGCCTATACAACCACATCCACCCACACACACACCCATACAATATTATAGCCATAAAATGATAGATATAACAGTCATAATCATTTGACACCCTCTGCAATCCACGCACACATGCAAAGTTGGTTTGTACAATATGAATACATGCATACAAACAAACTTGTGTGCGTGGAGTTTCATCAGTTCCACTTCCACGCCCCTAACTGCCAAAAAGTAAATAAATTCACAGTTGTGCAGTATTGGTTTTGCGGGTGTGCGCAAATGGAGAGATGTGGGTGGGTGAGAGAGTGAGAGTGTTGGGGGCAAGTGTAGTTCAAGTGAAGGTCTGGTAAATCTGAATGGTTTGCTTTATTATTCCGGGTAAATAGACACAGGTTGGGTTTATGTGCACTGGCATCATCAGGTACGCGATATGCTATTGTTACAGAAGACTTGGCATAACTCCAGTATACAATAACTTCAGCAACCAGTATACATACACACCTTTACGTGACTGACAGGTTCAGTGAATAATCTTAACGTGTTAATATAATTATTATATGTTATTATAGTGTTATTTATGGGTATAATTTTACAAAAATAAAATATATAGTATATATATATATATATATATATATATAAGATATAAATTACAAAAGTAGAAAAAATGAAAAGTATTACAGTTTACAGAAAAATATTGAAAACACTGTTTTTGACATTGATAATAATAAGGACCATTATTAATATTTAAGCACCAATAATAACTGATAATATCTGAGCACCAAGTCAGCATTTTAGAATGAATTCTGAAGGATCATGTGACACTGAAGACTGGCCTAATGATGCTGAAAATTACATTTTAAAATATACTCAAATCGAAAACATTATCTAACAATACTACAGTTTTACTGTGTGTTTGAGCAAATAAATGCAGCCTTGGTGAGCATAAGAGACTCCTTTAAAATGCATACAAAAAAACGTAATTATTCCAAATTGTGAGCAGTATATAGCTTTAAATCATGAAATTATTTAAAAGTACTATTTACAGTGGGTCCTTTTGCCCTCAGCATGCTTTTACCGACCTGAAATAAAAATGTATAATGTGTAGCTAAATTATGTAAGTCATTTGTCTTCACTCATTGTTAGAGAACCTGGCGACCTTTATCCATACTTGTTAGATCTTTGAAACTGTGAGGCGTGTCTTGTCAGGAAGGGAAAGAAGGAGAGATAGAGAGAGACAAACAGAGAAGGAAGGAAAGGGCGGAGAGGGAGAGGCAGGCAGGCACACACACCCAGCCCTTTCTCTCTTCTCTTCTGCCCCCTCAGGCGTGTCTTGTCAGGAAGGGAAAGAAGGAGAGATAGAGAGAGACAAACAGAGAAGGAAGGAAAGGGCGGAGAGGGAGAGGCAGGCACACACACACACACACACACACACACACACACACACACACACCCAGCTCTTTCTCCTCTCTTCTGCCCCCTCCTGTCTCCGGTTGCGCGTATCTGGAGCCAAGAGTGCGCCCCACCCTCGCCTCCCGCGAGCGCCCGCCCGCCCGCCCGGCCCCCCCTAATCATGTGATAGACGCTCAATTCACTCAGGACACTTTAAACAGTTGGACAAGAAGTTGTTTCGTAACTTTCGGGGAAGTTTTTTCAGCGTCAGCCTAAAGTGTGTCTTTTAGATGTGTTTCATGCCATTGTGATCCGGGTTGTTGCTGTCGTCTGCGGTCCTTCATAACGGCGCACTTTTAACTTGAGGAATATTCACTGACAAGTAAGTTTCTATATTCATTAAATACCATAGTCTGACTTCAAACAGGCACAATCAAACCGTCCTGCTGTAGTTATAAACAATTGAGTCCATCTTTAATTGATTGATTTATATAAATTAATATTTAATATTCAATAAAACAAAACAAAATACACACGTATGCCTATATATCGTGTAGCCTATATAAGTTTAAAAAAAGTGTATTTCTTTTGTCCATTTTAGAATGTTTTATTCTACTTCTGCAGTAACTACTTGTAAAGTAGTTTTGACAGATGTATGGGTCAGTGTCAAATAAGGATGTCTGAGATGAGGACAACGAGAAATCTTTTAAGAAACTAGTTTAACATATGTGCCAAGTTTTCAGAAATATCATGTCCATGAAATATTTTCAGAAATAACATAAACATTTCGTATTCATGTTTATACTACAATTTTTGTAGTTTCGTGCAAACATAAATTTAATGGATCTAAAATGTCTAAAAGTTTTGTAAAAAAAAAAAAAAAAAAAGTACCAAAATATTTTATACGTGATTGTACAAACATTTTATAAAAAGTCAGTATTAAGAAGTGTTTTTGTGGTTACTCCATTTTAAAAATGTGATATTTTTAAACATTTAATGGCCTTGACATGCAATGAAGGGCATTTAAAGTGATCTATTTAATACAAAACTTTTTTTTTAATTACAGTCCTTGGATAGTTACACCATCTAGATATTTTTACTTAAGCAATATCACAAAATCAAAATTACTTGAATTAAGAAGCATGTTCATCAAAGAAGTGAATTCAAGTAATTTACCAGCATTGTATGAATTGCATTTATTTTTTTTGAACGACAGAAATATTGACGACCATGTCATTGCCATCTAGGCTATTTGTTCTGATTATTGTGAGTTGTATTAATATTGCTCTTTTAGCACTTACTGTTTTATTGTTGTACTGATACTGTGTTCTTAGCTGGACATAAACTTGAATCTTGTACTCTATCAGAATGAATAATTCACATTATTTACAGTCTCTCAGTCCATATGATCAGTGCTAGAGCTTATATGCAAATATAATTTTCAGGCAAATTATACGCACTGTATAGGAACATGTTGGCGTGTGCTTTTGGCTCAGTTGCATTTTTTAACTAAACATTTATTTTGTCACATTTCTGAGTTGGGACCTGCAACTCTTTATACAAAGTTTAAATGTTAACAAACAGTATTGCATTAAAATACTTGACAGGTCTTCAGTTAATCTACATTTAAACAGTTAGAAATGTCATGACACCTTGATTCATATATTTTATGTACTTAGTGTGCATGAACAACTGAACTTTTAATCATATAAGGTCACTTGGATTGTTCATTAAAATTATTCAAATAAAATTGTGGCAATATGGTGCATACATAGTTTTTGTTGAATGAATAACAGACAAAATTCTAACTTTTTAAAGTCTAAAATATTATTGAATATGGCTCCAAGCCCAATTCTGTAGGCTTCTGCAGTAAATGGTTTGGTTTGTGATCAGCTTGGCCTACATTTAGAATGTGTGTATGTTCAGCTATTCAAAATCTGAACATCCTGCCCCTGCATTTTGGACTGTATGAAGATTATGTGTACAGTACATATGTGCATGGTGGACATAGCATTATTGGTGTGAAAATTAAATACAATAAAACTAATAGTCAAAGTCCCAGGGTCAGTAAGGCTGTTGTATTCTGAGCTTTGTTTCAAGGCTGAGGTTTGCGTCAGACATTCCATCTGGCACATGGAGCCTCTTTTCCTGTTTTCAGCATTTGAGGGGAGGCTAACTGAGGGGAGTGAACACACACACACACACACACACACACACACACACACACATATGCCTAGACCCTCCACCCACTTACACGACTCTTTCCTTGGATCAATACTCTGATGTTATCGCAATACACACACAAACAATCCACTACAAAAGAGGATCATTTTCAGATACCATGCTTAGCCTCTCTCTTGCTCTCTGTCTGTCTTTCTCTTTTTCTTTAGCTTGAGGAAAGGCCAGAAGGGAGTCTATAGCCCCCATGTAGCAGAGCTTCTCTATGTGTTAGTCTCACTATGGAAACAATAACAGACACACTGCGGCCCTCTTGCTAAATTTGGTCTTCGGCCTAAATTTCAGTCAGATAGAAGCCTATCTGTAAAGTTTTTCACATTGTGATCATCCCGTTCAATCTCAGATCTCATGCATCTCTCAGATACCTGGCACCTGGCTGAAAACCTGTTATCTGAGAGCGGCGGTTATTGACGGGTTGTGTGCACTGAACCAGAGCCATTTAGTTTGGTTTTGGGCTTTACATGGGTTTGCTATTAGATTCTGTACTTTGTAATTTTGGTCTTTGCATTTTCTTCATGTCAGCAAGCCGGACCATTTCTCTCCACTAGGAAACTGCATTAGAGTGTAACTCTGGCATTCTGTGGTTTTGAGTGTGTGTGTGTGCCTTAATGGATTTCCCTACTTCAACGGTCTGCAATGTTGAGTGAAGAGCGTGTGTAATTTATAAGGTATCACACATGGTAGATTTGACAGAAAGAGTCGTTCTACTCGTTCACACCACAGCATTCAAGAACAAAAATGACACTAAACCTTAGAAATATTAAACTTAGCCACATTGGTTAAGAGCTTTAACTTTGTTAACATACAGTATAAAGCTGTTGATGTGTGATTCACAAGATCTTTTAAAACATTTGATTTTTCTAAATGTTGGTTTTCAGCTGATTTATAGGGCCCTCATCATTACCATTACATCTTAATGTTGAAGTGATGATCAGATATGACAGAGGTAGAGAGATCGAGGGTAGAAACAGATTGTGCTATCAACTCACAAAGACTATAATTATAGTACAATTAAGCATTTAAACATCTTAAGTTAATTGCTCACAGAAAATTTTAATTATAGGTGTTTCATGTGTTATGAAGTCTTGCGCTAGTTGGCACTCCAATCTCTCTGTACTAACCGCATCTGGTGAAGCATGTACTAACCTCTCTTTATTTTATGAGACTGTAAAATTTAATTGACGGTCTTGAAGTTGTGCTTGTTGTTAGCGGTGAAAGGCTTCATGATTAATATAACAGGTTCACGTGAATGCTGTCAAGCCCGGAGGACAGTTATGGTACTAACCGCATCTGGTGAAGCATGTACTAACCTCTCTTTATTTTATGAGACTGTAAAATTTAATTGACGGTCTTGAAGTTGTGCTTGTTGTTGTTAGCGGTGAAAGGCTTCATGATTAATATAACAGGTTCACGTGAATGCTGTCAAGCCCGGAGGACAGTTATGAACATCTCTATCATATCTATCTATCTATCTATCTATCTATCTATCTATCTATCTATCTATCTATCTATCTATCTATCTATCTATCTATCTATCTATCTATCCGAGTGCAACAGCTATGATGGCGATATAAAAAATCTCTGTCTCTTATTTGGAAAAGGGCTGTTTGTTTGACTAAGATTTCCCAAGAGGGAGCTTTGCAGACCTTGATGCTTCTGCAGACAAGTTGAAAAGAAAACCTGTGCTTTGATAAGTACAAATCTTACAAACCCCAAACTTTTGAACTGTAGTGTACATAGAGGCCTACATACAACCCTTATTTTCATCAGAATATTAAAGAGGGTTCAGCTGGTGCAGTTTTCTAAATGTGAGGTTAATTCAACCAATAATAAAAATCTGTCATTATTTACTCACTCTCATGTCATTCCAAACCCACGTTACTTTCATTTTCTTTCTCCATGGAACACAAAATAAGATCCATCCATCCATTTCTCAAAACGCTTGTCCTCTGCAGGGTCGCTGGGTGATAAATGAGGTGTCCTACAGTATATAGAGTTGCATATGTGGATGTGTGATGCTTTTTTTGTTATATTTGCAGCTTGGTAGCACAGTATTCATTCTCATTGTATGGAAAAGAGCCTGCTCATTTTGTGTTTAATTGATGAGAGAAAGTCATACAGGCTTAACGTGGTGGTGGATAAATTGTGGTAGAACTTTTAGTATTGGCTGAGTTATTCATTTAAAACTCTACAGACAAGAAAACCGAGTCTAGTTCAAAACAGGTCTTGAATGGTGTTTAACTCATACAGTATGTTGTGACTTGTCTTATGTTTTGATGTGTCTCTTTATCTGTATGGAATTCTATACTATTGGTTTCAGGTTTGGATGAGTATGTCTGTGTTTGTGTGTACGCTTCAATACGTTGTTTTGTTAACCCACACCTGACCCTGGGGCCAAAGGGAATGTTTCACAAGCCTCTGTGTGTGTGTGTGTGTGATCGGCATTGTCTCTTGCGATAGTAGTCCTGTTTATATATGCGTGTCTGAGGACTGAGGAGTGTTCAGTTTGCTGGGAGTGGATCTGGACTCAGTGGACCTAGTATGGATTGTTGTATGGATCACCACCCTGGGTTAATGATTGTAAAAAGAGACTTTATATTCACCCCTCTCTTTCTTTCTTCCTCAGTCTCTCAGACTTTGGACTGTAAAAGCACTCACATATCATGAAGTCAGTCTCATGGCTCACTGAAGTCCCACATCCCGTTCCTGAATTCCCATGAAAACAAGTCCTGGATCATTTTTACTTTCATTTTTGGAAATAGAAATTGATCAGCACCTATAGCACCTGTAGTATCTATAGACTGTAGCACCTGCATCTTTGTGTCTGGCTTTGTGTGCTCACACAAAACACACAGACAGATCAAAGTGCAAAACATATTTGTCTCTTTTGTGTTCGCAAGACAACATGACCATATCTAAGATATCTGATGAGCTGGTAGTGCTGTAGACCTTTCATCTTTAGCTTTTAGCTTCCTTTGTGCATTGCAGACTTGTTAGCTGTGTTATTCTTCTGCTGTGGACTCTTTTGACCCTGTAGACTTTTACAAAATAAACTCATAATACACTTTTCACACTCTCACTAGATTATTTAATCTGTCTGCCTACAATATCAAACAGTACTGGCATCACATTTTTCTGGTATAAACATTTCCATCACATTTCAGATGATGTATTGTGTTTAATAGCATTCTGTGGTGGAAATGAGATTTACATTTTTTTTAGAATAAAATAGTTGACTTCTTTGTCTTGGTAAGATTTATTTCATAGATTGATTTTGCTTTGTCGTTGTCTCATATTCAAAGCATGCTTTGAATACATTAACCTTGGATTATGGGGGAATTTTCTTTACCGGGGGACAGTAAAAGTTGTGTAAAATTATTTATTTTATTTTGACTCATTTGTAAAATTGATGAACTTGCATTTAACTCTTTGATCAGGATATCATATTTACAATAAATGTATTTATATTATTAATTTGTATTTATTTATAAACAGTTCCATTCAAATGTTCAATACTTTTATTCAGCAAAGTCTTATGTACAACCACACACAAACAGCGTTCATAGCCCTGGGCATTCTGACTTCCCCTGTACTTTAAGTGATTAGTGTTTCATGCTTCTCTGCTTCTGTGTGCTTGGAATGAAGAAAGACTTCCTGATGGCTCACGACATGTCTCTAATGCCAGATTTGTGGTTGATATCTGATATTCTACTGTTTGTTCTCTGTATTTTCCAGAATTCCAGCCATGCTCAGGTGTGACCCAATAAAGCCAGACATGGTGAGTATGGTTTAAAGGGTAAATATTCTCAAATAAATTGTTAAGAAATGGTTGGTATGATAGTATAAATCATTTCTGAAAGGTTTTGTAGAGATACCTTCTACACTGTAAAAATAGTTTTTTTGAAGTTGCAAAGTTTTATGAGAACATATTTTTTCAGTCTTTCTGCTTAAAAAGTTTAATTCAAGGTGTTCTTTGTAATCATTTGTGAAATATACTAACAGTTTTTGAGTGATTTTTTTTTTTTACATCAACATTTTTGTTTAGTGTATATACCTTACTCAGGGTAGCGCCATATTTAATTTTTGACAGGAATGAAAACAAGGATTGTACTGTTGTTTAACCGATTGTTCAACTGATGAAACATCTGAAAAAACTTGTGAAAATAACACAATCTAGGACCTTTATACAGTGTGTGCCATATTGTAAACACTACTGTAAGTCTATCGCTCACAGCCTCATTTTCATTCGCTTTAAATTCGATATGGCATCTAACCTGATTAAAGTCTGTTAGACAGAAGAAGTGGTTTTGGACTAATCTGAAATGTTTCTCCACCTTCCTGATGCTTGTCTAGTTCTTTGTATCCGGTTTATGCGATTTTAAAGAAAACAATGCTTCACTTTCCGTTTCCAATAACAAACCTGCCTTACCAACTAACACACAATGGGCTGCCTGGCACTTGGCCATCTGAACACCCTGGTCTTGGGCCATTGGTGTGTTTGTTCTAGTGCAGTATCCATCTTTGAATTCTTGGTAATAACACGAGACTCATTGATAGAGACTAATAAGGATATTTTTGAATTGCATGAGTTTATTCTTAGGATCTTACAAAATGTATCTCTAAAGCTCATCTTGTACTTGCTCTTTTTTCTCTCTTCCTCTGGCTGCAGATGGACATGCATTCCTTTCTCATTAGGTTAGGAGTTTATATGGGGTGGGAAGTTGAATTTGGCTCATACTCAGTCATTCAAAGTTAGTCTTTTTTGTCGGTTTATACTCCCCAGACTCAACTGCTGCTCAGCGCAGCTGCTTTATATGAGTGCTTGTGTAATTATGTACATGTGAATGTGAAAATATGCTATTTACAGCATGTTTAACATCTCTCTCTCTTTTTCTCTCTCAGTCATTTTACCCGACTTACCTGATTAAACCTACACCTGAGGCATTTGGAGTCGTATTGTCACCTTCCGTGGTCCCTACTTCCACAGCTCACCTATACTCTCCTCACTACCACCAAGCACATTACTCCTACATGAGCCCCCTTCACACATACCCTCAGTCCCAGGATGTCCGTCAGTCCCAGACTGAACCTGTCGACTTGACCACCAAAAGATCCTCCATTTCGTCGCCTTCCTCATCTCTGGCATCATCATCACCCAGAGCCACTCCCCCATCCCCTTTTGATTGCTCCAGTCCGGTGTCACGTCCTCGCCTTGGCTCCGGCTCCGGCTCCGGCTCTGTAACAGGAAGCACTTCTGGTTCATCTCAGACAAGGCTGACCCCACCACTGGCCCTTCCCATTCCACCGGTAAGAATAGTGGTGATGCCTTTCAAAAAAAGTGTTGTGGTGATACCGTGGTGCTGAATGATTACCATATTCCCATGCAAATGTATTGACATGGTAATTCAATTTACATGGGGGAAAAAAAACATGGTATATATCTATACATTTCTAATTTTATTAGCTCTGTCACGTATGTCAGTATGATTTGACAATTTCAAAAATACATAAAAAATGCAATTCATACATGCAATGATTTGAGAATACATCTTTGATAAGAATATTTTTTATTTAAAATATTATTTATAATTATTATTAGAAGTCACTTATGCTCACCAAGGCTGCAGATATACAGCAAAACAGTAATATTGTAAAATATTATTACAATTTAAAATATTTTTTTCTATTTTTAAATGTAATTTATTCCTGTGATGGCATCCAGAATCTTCAGTGTCACATGATCCTTTAAAAATCATTCTAACATGCTGATTTGGTGCTCGTGAAACTTTTCTTCTTATTATTATCAAATTTGAAAACAGTTATGCTGCCTCATATTTTTGTGGAAACTGTGATACATTTTTCTAGGATTATTTGGTAAATAGAAAGTTCAAAATAGAAAATTTATGTAAAAATCTTTACTTTTTTACGTTTGATCAATTTTATGCATACTTGCATCCAAAAAAAAAAATCTTGAATCTTGAGCCTGAACTTCTGAACAAAAGTGTATATCATAGAAAGAACCCCTGTGACGTCTTATCTAAAACTTAGAGACCAACAGACATTTCTCGTGTCATAATCCATCTGTGTTTGTTTTTCTGGTCTACATGTGATGCAGGTTTTGACATCTATTGTACCAGTACTTTCTATGCTGCAGCCGTTATCTGTGCTCTACCCTCCTGCCCTACACCTGTCTCCCTCCATCATGATATCACCCGTCACACCTGAGGATCCTACTAACCACACACAGTGTAAGTGGGATGACATGCTCTATCACACACACGCATATTCACTTTTGAAGCAAACAACACATTTCCAAACACATGCTCTCACTCTCTTCTCATGAGTTTTAGTGGGTGACAGTTGTAATAATATATCCTTACATATTTTTGTTTGGCTGATTGATTTGTGTCTCGTTTCTTGTCTTCAGTCTCTATAATGAAGTCAGAGAATCATCCAGACAACCATGAGCTCCTCAAGCCAATCAAATCAGAGCCCTACCCTGAACACGCTCAGGATTCCTACAGCCAGGAACTAACCTCACCCATCATTACTGTCCCACCAAGTTATGAGTGAGTACCGAGTCCTCAAACACACACATACGCTCAGTGTTTTTCGTTATATCACCATTTATTTTGTATGATCACGGATAATACTGTCATGACATGCATTTCTGTCATGACAACTCTTCAGCATGGTAATATACATGGCAATGTTATTGAGTTTGGTCTTGGTGGAATAGATCTGCTACGCTGCTGCTGCTGTTTCAGAGCAAATACTGAGACTTGCTACTGTCAAGACATCCACAGATATGCTGCTGTGAGCATGTGAGAAATACTGCTGCTGCATATATAATATATATTAAATAACCCCGCAGCAGATCTATACAGGTGGAGCTGGGGAAGGTGGAGGGTTTCTGCTACACTGCTACAGCAAGCACTAGCCAAGTATGTGAATGTTGAGCAGCAAGCTCATTGGATGCTGATGCGAAAAGAAACCCAATCGGCTGTGCCATGTGAATAATGATGTGATTATGTCAGATTGAGAACCTATCGGCCTGCGCCATCTAGAGTTTCATGACAGAATCAGTTAAAATGACGTCAACACATAGAGTAACGCTACGTGTTTCTAATCATTTCAGGGGACCTTTAAGGGGTTTTGTTGCATGTTTTTACACATTTACAGCGGTTCATCCCCAGTCAACACTGTACATCTTCTTGTAAAAACAGCCTACTGGATTCTATACAGAAACCTGTAATTAGACACAGAAACAAATGTTACACATACTGTACACATAGTATCTAACTCTCTCTCTCTCTCTCTCTCTCTCTCTCTCTCTCTCTATATATATATATATATATACATACAGTATATATGTCTGTCTGTATTATGGATCTCATTTATAGTACATTTTGCTGTCTATTATGGATCTCATTTATAGTACATTTGGCCTACAGTTCTCTTTCAGCCATGTGTGTATGTATGTGTGGTGTAATGCATATATTTCTGTATCTGATGTTTCTTGTTGTGGGTCTGATAAAATCCCCCAGCATGCATTTCAGAGACAGTGTGTCTCCACGTTCAATTTACATGGGGGTGGGGTCATGCTTGAGCACATATAAGTGCATGCTTGAGAGTTTGTGTAGACATTTTTGGATTCTTATTTGTACGTGGTTTAGTGCACTTTCACAGTGTGTGTGTGTGTGTGTGTGTGTGTGTGTGCGCCAGTGGGCCTGGTGTCATCAGTTATGGACATACTGTGTGACAGAAAAGAAAAAAAGTGGTGAATACAGAGAAAGAAGCGATGAGGAAGGGAGGAGAAAGCGCTTGATTGAGAGCGGAAGGGAGGAGGAAGGTAGAATGATAGTTTTATATTGGGTGCGGTGCCAGAAAACAGCTGCTTTTAGGAACAAATGTCAGAAAGTGGGTGAATAAGTGACATTGTAATCGAAGATTGAAAATATGTAGCTGAAACAGACAGGGAGGGTAAAGTGTATAGAGAGGTTTAATGGAGAGATGAGAGAAAGAGAGAGAGAGAGAAGGGTGTATTTAATTACAGGGTGTATTTAGGCAGGAACTTACAGTAAGAGGTGTTCCTCTAAGTAAATGTATGAGAGTTTTTTTCAACTGGTTTACTGTCTGCAAGTTGGAAATCGTCAGTCCAGTCATTTAGAAAAGTAACAGCCTTTCCTCAAAAAGCTGCACAATTAGATGTATTATTCATGTCTGTAGCTCAAACGGTGCGGAACGAGTTACCCACTTTAGTTCCTTGTGGTTAAGGCCTACATGTGAGCAGTAATAAGGATTCTTGCTTCAGCAAGCAAGTACTACTAATAAATATCATAAATGTAACATTTGACAGCAGTGTACTGTAATTAAAGTGCCCCTATTATGGATTTTCAAATATTACCTTTCATGCAGTGTGTAATGTAGCTATCTGTGAATTTAAACAATCTACAAAGTTGTGAAGCCGAAAGTGCACCGTAAATAAAGTTATTGGCTCTCAAAAAAAAAAAAAAGGACTCTGAACAGCCTAAACGAGTCGTCTGGAATTCCAGTCTCACTTCCGTGACAGCTACACGTCACTGGGTAACACATTTGCATAATGCCCTCCTATGTTCTACATTGTCCGCCCGCGAACGACTTGACCCCCCCTCAAACACTATAGCATGCGCCGTACGCGGTAGACCAATTACAAAGGACTAGGCCATCTAACCAATCAGAGCAGTGTAGGCTCACGGAAAGGAGGGGTTTAGAGAGACTTAAGCCCCGTTCGCACCAAGAACGATAACTATAAAGATAACGATATTAGCGTCCACACCAGCGAACGATATCGTGTGTTTATTCTAAGCGCACGCGCGTCTGCCGCTTTAAATTCTTGCACTCGTTACAGCAGGATGGATTCTGATTGGCTGTCAGTGTTTTATCGTTCATCAGCTGGAAAAAAATCATTTTGAAAGTGATCACAACGATATCGTTCCTCTGTATCGTTATCGTTATAGTTGTGGTGTGAACTATGCTATTCTTTAATATTGAGAACGATTTTTAGAGCTATATCTTTATCGTTATCTTTATAGTTATCGTGCTTGGTGTGAACGGGCCTTTATTCAGGAGAAAGCGCTTGATTGAGAGCGGAAGGGAGGAGGAAGGTAGAATGATAGTTTTATATTGGGTGCGGTGCCAGAAAACAGCTGCTTTTAGGAACAAATGTCAGAAAGTGGGTGAATAAGTGACATTGTAATCGAAGATTGAAAATATGTAGCTGAAACAGACAGGGAGGGTAAAGTGTATAGAGAGGTTTAATGGAGAGATGAGAGAAAGAGAGAGAGAGAGAAGGGTGTATTTAATTACAGGGTGTATTTAGGCAGGAACTTACAGTAAGAGGTGTTCCTCTAAGTAAATGTATGAGAGTTTTTTTCAACTGGTTTACTGTCTGCAAGTTGGAAATCGTCAGTCCAGTCATTTAGAAAAGTAACAGCCTTTCCTCAAAAAGCTGCACAATTAGATGTATTATTCATGTCTGTAGCTCAAACGGTGCGGAACGAGTTACCCACTTTAGTTCCTTGTGGTTAAGGCCTACATGTGAGCAGTAATAAGGATTCTTGCTTCAGCAAGCAAGTACTACTAATAAATATCATAAATGTAACATTTGACAGCAGTGTACTGTAATTAAAGTGCCCCTATTATGGATTTTCAAATATTACCTTTCATGCAGTGTGTAATGTAGCTATCTGTGAATTTAAACAATCTACAAAGTTGTGAAGCCGAAAGTGCACCGTAAATAAAGTTATTGGCTCTCAAAAAAAAAAAAAAGGACTCTGAACAGCCTAAACGAGTCGTCTGGAATTCCAGTCTCACTTCCGTGACAGCTACACGTCACTGGGTAACACATTTGCATAATGCCCTCCTATGTTCTACATTGTCCGCCCGCGAACGACTTGACCCCCCCTCAAACACTATAGCATGCGCCGTACGCGGTAGACCAATTACAAAGGACTAGGCCATCTAACCAATCAGAGCAGTGTAGGCTCACGGAAAGGAGGGGTTTAGAGAGACTTAAGCCCCGTTCGCACCAAGAACGATAACTATAAAGATAACGATATTAGCGTCCACACCAGCGAACGATATCGTGTGTTTATTCTAAGCGCACGCGCGTCTGCCGCTTTAAATTCTTGCACTCGTTACAGCAGGATGGATTCTGATTGGCTGTCAGTGTTTTATCGTTCATCAGCTGGAAAAAAATCATTTTGAAAGTGATCACAACGATATCGTTCCTCTGTATCGTTATCGTTATAGTTGTGGTGTGAACTATGCTATTCTTTAATATTGAGAACGATTTTTAGAGCTATATCTTTATCGTTATCTTTATAGTTATCGTGCTTGGTGTGAACGGGCCTTTATTCTTCAAACTGCTTCGAACTAATCATTTACAAATCATTGAATCAACTGAGGTGAAGTTAAATGTTATGCGAAAATTAATATGTTTTTTGATCTTGCATGCATGTAAACCTGTTTACTTGAGGAGACCCCTGAAACAATATTAGGAACCTTAAAAATGGCATAATAGGGGCACTATAAACAAAATCTAAGGTCATAAATACATACAATACTCGGGTAACTTAACACAAAGGACTGGCTTTTGCTTTGAGGTAGACTCTATGTTATGAATCTGACCCCTGGTGGTTAAAGCAAGAGGTGCACTTCAAACAAAGTGGTTGTGGAGACCATGGATACATTTATCTTTCTTTTTGTCTTTAACAGGGGAAACACACACTCTGTGATTGTACGTCGAAAGGTAGAGTCTCCAGATCCACTGAAGAAGCGTCGAATTCATTGCTGTGACTTCAATGGCTGCAATAAAGTCTATACCAAAAGCTCCCACCTGAAAGCTCACAGACGCACACATACAGGTACATAGGCTATATATGCAAAGACTTTTGTTCATACATGCAAAATTAACTTTGTGATGCTCATTTAAAAAAATGTTTTGCCTGGATGTATTCTGGATGTAAGTAAAAAAATACAATACAAATGCAATTCACACAAAAACTGCGTAAATACACTTGTTCTGTGTGATATGGGGCTTGATCTTTTTGTTGAGAAAGCTTTTTTTTTAAATAAATTATTATTGCTCACCAAAGCTGCATTTATTTGATCTAAAATAAAGAAAAACTGTAATATTGAAAATTATTATTATAATTGAAAATACGTTTTTTGTATTTGAATCTATTTTAAAATGCAATTTATTCCTGTGAGTCAAAGCTAAATTACGCCAGTTTTCAGTGTCACATGATCCTTCAGAAATCCTTCTAATATGCTGATTTGCTGCTCAAGAAAGGTTTTTTATTATCAGTGTTTAAAACCATGATATGCGACTATTCAAAAGTTTGGGGGGGGGGGGGGGTTTTT